CACAGCTGTTGTGCAGGGAACTTTCATGCCTGTAAAAACTAGCAAATTCCCTTTGTACTTCGCTCTCTCACCAAATTGTGTTGAGGGAGTGAGGAATTTCACCAGCTTCTGCAAACCACTGGAAGACCGTGTTTAGGCAGCCAGTGGGGGACCTTTGAGGTTTCTCAAAATACAGACATCACAGAAGTTGCCTCTCTTGCTTTAGTATTTGCTGATCAATTGAATATCTCAGATTCTCTGGGTGAAGAGATGGCAACAAATTTCTAATAATTATATTAATATCCCATAGTCCCACATATCTATGTGCTCACTACATCCAAAGAGTTAACGTTTAAAAGTTTGAAGAGGATTGCAGATGATTTGTTTCACAGCTGATCTGATTTCTGCATTCCAGTCCCACATGTTGAAAAATCACTTGCTAACATTTGGGTACCAGGCACCGATTGAAGCTTTTTGCCACAACCCTGTGAGGTGAGCACTAATAGTAGACCCTTTTTACAGATGTGAGAACTGAGGTCCAGAGGGTTTAAGGAATTTGCCAAAGTTAACATATTTAAGAAGTGGCAGTGCCTCCTTCCTGACAAACCCCACAGGATCCATGGCATGGGGTGGGGGGTATTTGGCCTTAAATTTGGATATTTGACATTATCTCCACATGAGGTTATGCAGTCATAGAAATACTCCAGAGAACCAAAAGAAGTCTGTCATACAGCTTTAACCACACTGTCCCCAGTATCCTATGGATAGATACATATAAATATATATATTTATGCATATACTTATGTTACATTTCACTAACAAAATTATGTTACATTTCATTTTTGTATGTTAAAGTCCTTAGTTAGGTAAACATAAATATTTTACATATACCATAGGGTTCATGACCCTGTTCTGATTTTGTCATATACGGAACATCTCAACAGTGAAATTGGCCTGGCTGTGTCTTGACATTGGAGATGTTCCAGTGCGTAGAACAATAGGATCAGGAGGGAAACTTAGAAACTATCTTGTCCGACTTCTTCATTTCATTTGTGAGGAAATGGAGACAGAGATGTTGAGTAATCTTCCCAAGGTCACACAGCTAGACTGCCCGTCCACTGACGGACAGACCACTGCGCTCTGTCCTGCACCCACTGCTCTCGATGCCTGGCTCTTGCCTCCACACTAGCAATGAGAGAAGTTGCATACTTGGGCATGTGTATTGGGAACATCCTGGAGGCCACGAAACATTTATTTTACAATGATTCCTTCCCGTGCAGTCTTTTTTTTTTTTTTTTAAATATGCAGGGAAAACAATTCCATCTCTTTAGAACTTTTCACATTTCAACACCCTTTTCAAACTGAGAATCAATATTGAACCTCATGACCGTCCTGAGAGGGGGTATATGCAGGCACTGCTATTTCTGTTTTTCAGATGGGGAAACAAAAATCCAAAACTGTTACACACCTCTCCTGAGGAAACACAGCTAGGTCGTGGCAGAGCTGTTACTGTCATTTAGGACTCCTGGCTTGGGATGTAGCACTGAACTGCACTGCTTTCCTGTAGACAGCATGTCCTACCGGAATTACAGATGAGAACAGCACAAGCATTTTTGTTCTCCTGATGCTATTCATAAACCATCCTCAAACCCAGTGCATTTTCTCTGAAAGAAACTATTCTTCACGTGATCAGCAACTTGGCAGAAAAGATAATTAGATCTTCTAAAAGTTATTCATAAAGTAAACGCTGCGTCAGGATAGATATTAAGCATTTCCTAATGTATTTCCTTTCAGTGGTGAGGTGTAAGATCTATTTAAATGAAGCTTAGTCTGGGAAACCAGCATATTGCAATTAAAAATGCAGCCCTTGTACTCTTGCAATTCTTTGTCTAAAGCCCTTTTACAAAAGGGGGTATTTTAATTCAATAAAAAGACAGGCACTCCCAGCTTTCCTATGGGCGGAGTAGCTACGGCTTGCAGCTCACACACACAACAGAGAAAACACACAAACAAATAGTATTTGATCTTGCCTTGCTGCAGGCTATTTTCATCTTTCAAGAGACCGAGGGGAAAACAACCTCAGAACTTTACCACCAAAACTTCCAAATTTATTGCAACCCAACGTAATGGCAAAATGCTATTTTCTTAGTGCTCACATTTTTGGAGTAACCACCATGGCCAAGAATGCCTGGTTTTATATTTACAATAAACCCAAAGAAAAATCTTGAATTCCACTCTCAGTTTGGGGATGGCAAAGATGCCCTGGGTTGTTTGGAGCAAACCATCAAGTCTAATTATTCAGTCTTATCCTCTCTGTTTAACCTGAGCTCGAGGCATTTATTTCATGTTTATACTGGTTTAACACAAATCATGCTGAAAAGAGATTTTGTATCCTGTTTCCCTGTGCAAAGCTGGGCTACAGTAGTAGACTTAACAATGCCAACCCTTTCTTGGGCTTATCAGTTAAAGAAGCACTCAGCCTAAGAAAACACTTCCAGTGTAAACAGGGTACAGAATTGCACATTTAGCCACATTCCACTGGGATCTGTCTCAATAGACAGAAGTATAGAACACTAAGTAATTTCTCCTTTAATTTAGCATCAATGTGCCCATTTCTCATACTGCTTTTCACACATTGTTATAAGCAATTTATTACGTTGCTGTTGCATTCCATGCAGCAAGTAAGGTATAAAAAAAAGGCAAGATAATAGATTTAAACCAACTTTAAAGTTCTGCACAAGCATTATACTTTTCAACATATTTTAACCATAATTAAGTTGGCTTAAAGATACAGTGAAAATCTTGTTCTAATCTTATCTCAGCACAATTTCTTTATAGTTGATATACATAATATTAGTTGTTTACAAGGATGGCAACTACCAGCCACTCCCATCTCAAATCTCCTGAGACTGAAATTTGTACAGACTGATTACTTGGTCAAGGGATGTATTCTAGTTTCTTAATGATAAAATACATTTTCATGTTTTCAGGACAAGAAATGGAAAGCAAACTATTTACATAGCTTAGAAATTTATCAGACCTACCTTGTTTGAAGAAAGCAATTTTTTTTTCAGAACTCTTCCACCACACAGAATGGATATCCTTTTTTGCTTAAGCTTGTCTGCATCACAGATCCCATCCAAATTATTCTTAAAGAAGAAAGAAGAGGTCCAAGCACCTTTTCTCTTCTGAGGGGAGCTAATCAAACATTCCCATCAACCTCTCAGCACTTTGAAAAGCACATTTTACACCACACACACACACACACACTCTCTCTCTCTCTCTCTCTCTCTCACACACACACACACACACACACACTGCTTCTCACACTGGTTTTAGTGCTGAACTAGGCGGTCCTCTTTTAAATTTCCACTCCCACTTGCTTTTTTTTTTTTTTTTTTTGGGTAAGGATGTCTAAATTTTCTTTTCTAGCCCAAAGCACACATTTTCAGTAGGCAAATTCTGCAATTTGAAATCCTGAAAAGTAGAAGAGAAACATCTAGATAAAATGGAAAATGGGAGATATTCTTTAAAAAGGACTTAAGCAGGGCAATTCAATTTTCTTTCTTTTTCAAATGCTAGCGAACAGCTGGATTAAAACTACATAAAGAAAGAAAACTGTGCAAACACTACCGAGCTGATTCTACTGGACTCTCACTTGTGGAGTGAGAATAATTTTCCTACATGTTTAAAGCTATTTTTTTGGTTTAGTTCGCTTCAGTCCTTTCTGCAATTTTGGCAAGTTTAACGAAGTGACCGTAGTCTAGGCTGCTGGGAACGGGACACAAGATAATAATAGGGGGAAGTAAAACCTGACTCTTGTTTCCAAAAACTAATGATGGATAGCTCACATCTGAGTGAAATCTGCCGGATTTTAGTTATTTACATGTTAGTGTCATCAATTACATCGAAAGGATTCAGACCCAAAACATTACATTAGCATATCACAGCATCTTAAAAACAGACCATAAAAAGTACATCTGGCATTCCTTGAGATCCAAATGTTTATTAGTGTGACAGAGCCTCCTCCCTCCAACAGGGTAGGGGGAGCCCAGAGCCAGTCCTCTGCCCTCAGGGGACCCTGAACCCACAAAGCCCCAGTCCTAGGAGAAGAATCTCCCCGAGCAGCCTGGGGATGTCTCCTTATTTAAGATTATGGTTTGAATCTTTTTGTCTCCATTTGGTTCTGCATTTAAATGATTTCTCAATCCTGTTTCTTCCTCCACAAAATCTTAAGCCTGAGTCTGTGCGTGGTGAGGGTGTTTCTGCCACAGGGAGGGCACGTCCCATGCTTTGAGTCAAGGAAGGTTCAGAAATGGCAGCTCAAGCATAGCTAATAATATTTCTATTACTGTTAATAATAACAATGCAAATCGCCGTTTATCAAATACTTATTAATGCTGGGAGTGGTGATTAGCCCTCTGCGTGTATGAACTCATTTACCACTTAGAAGCAGCTAGAGAGGTCAGTACCAGTACTTCCGTCCTACAGATAACAGAACTGAGGCTCCAAGAGATTCAGTGACTTTCACTCAGCTGGAAAGGCAAGAACTGGGATTCAGATTCAAGACTGTCGGACTCTGGTGCAATGTGCTATGTTAACACTTAGAGCTTCTTTTTTTTTTTTTTCATTAGTTTAATTTACTTTCTTGTGGTGAATAAGGCAGAATCAAATGTAAAGGTACTGAAAGCATATAAAGGGATACTCAAAGCGAAATGCAAACTGAAAAGCAATTATGTTTGTGGGGATGAAGAATTTTGAAATACATAATTCTGGTTGCACACCATTATGGATAGAGTTAATGTTAATGAATTAATTAATTTAAAATGATTAAAATGGAAAAAATTTGTTATACATGTTTACCACAATAAAAAAGACAGAGGGAGAAATTACCCCTTTAAAATAAGCAGTGAAATATCACTTTCTTTTCATCAGATTGGCAAGAATTATGAGTTAAGTATGGGGGATGAATGGTGTGAAATATTATGTAGCAGCTAGAAGCAAAGAACCAGATATGGGATTTGAACGATGATCCCCAGGCCAGATCACCTAGGTTTGACTGTTGGTTTTAGCACCTGCCATTTGGTAAGTCCCCTAACTTCTCTGTTTCTTAGTTTCTCCATCTGTAAAATGAGAAAAAAATAATAAAACCTGTCTCAAGAGTTGTGACAGAGGAATTAATATTTGTCAAGTTCTTGGGATCTTGCCTCATGTGAAGCAACTACTATATAAGTGTTTTTTATAAAAAGAAAATGCATCAGCACTACTATATTCATTTTCTATTGCTGTGTAAAAAATTAGCACAAATTTAGTGTCTTAAAACAGGACCCATTTATTATCTTGTAGTTCTGTAGATTAGAAGTTCAGGCATGGTATGGCTGGGTTCTCTGCTCAGTGTCTCACAAGGCTGAAATCAAAGTGTCTACAAGACTAGGTTCTTATCTAGAAGTTCTGGGAGAGAATTCACCAAACCAGGTTGTTGGCAGAGTTCAGCTCTTTGCAGTTGTAGGACTGAGGTCCCTGTTTTCTTGCTGGCTATCAGGCAGGGCTGCTCTAACTCCTAGAAATCACCCCACTTCTCATCGCATGACTTCCTCCATCTTTAAAACAGTCATGGTGTGTTGAATCATTTTCGTGCTTGGATTCTCTCTGACTTCCTCTTTTACAAAGAAGCCAGAGAAAACTGCTTTTAAAGGACTCAGGTGATTAGGTTAGGTCTACGAGATAATATTCTTAGCGTCAACTGATTAGTAACTATAATTACATATTAGTTACTACATAACAATATTGCTTTGCCATGTAACATAGTATCATCAGGCCCCAGAGCAAAGATCATGCAGGCCATCCTAGGGTTCTGGCTACCACAACTATTGATCTTAAAAACATTATTCTGAGGGAAAGAATGAGAAACACAACACTGGGATGGTTAATTTTGTGTCAACTTGACTGGGTCACCGGGTGCCTGGATATTAGTTAAACATTGTTTCTGGGTGTGTCTATGAGAATGTTCCTGAATGAGATCAGCATTTGGATCAGTGGACTGAGGAAAGCAGATTACCCCTCCCCAACATGGGTGGGCCTCATCCAATCCGTTGAAGGTCTGAGTAGAATAAAAGGCTGAATGAGAAACGAATTCTTCCTCTCCACTTCTGTCTTCGAGTTGGGACATTGGTTTTCTCCTGCCTTTGGACTTACACTTAGACTGAACTATACCATTAGCTCTCAGGGTCTCCAGTTTGCTGACTGTAGATCTTGGACTTCTCAGCTTCCAGAATCACATTAGCTAATCCTTTATAGTAAACTCTCTCTCTCTTTATATATATATATCCTATTGGTTTTTTTTCTCTGGAGAACCTAGACTATTACAATTACAATTATGAAAAGAACACGTGTAAGTGACTATATCCTCAGCAGACCCACGGCACTTCAGAGACTTGTACCTGCTGTTCCCCAGGGTTTCTCTTGGATATCTGCGTGGCTCACATGCTCACCTTCATCACATGTTTGTTCAAATGTCACCTCTTGAGTAAGGCCTTGCTTGGCCACCCTGCTTAAAATAGCCCTACCCACACCCACCCCCCAGCATTTCCTTTTCTCCTTTATTTCCCCATAGTATTTATTACCTTTTAATGATATTTAACTATTTAATTTTTCATTGTGCATCCTCCACTGGAATGTAGGCTCCCAGAGGGCAGGGTTTTAAAATCTGTTTTGGTCACTGGTGTATTCCTAGCCCTTTGAACTGACACACAAGAGGCATACATACAGTAAGTATTAACTCAATGAATGATTTTCCAATACATTAGAATGCTTGCCTATGAGGGAAGGGAATGGGAGTGGAGAATTGAGATAAAATGGAATCAAAAACATTAAAGCAAAAGTCCTGGAGCCTTTTGGACCAGTGATGATGTAGCTGAGAATTGACTCAACCCTCCACACCCAAGGGTGGCAGCAGGACAATACTTAGAAGACAGTCCAGTTGGGAGCCTCAGTGAAATCTTGGAGCTGCTTTAACTAAAACAAGAACACAGCTTCCTGGTAAGTGGCCTTGAGCTTGCTGTATGGCATTAACTGAACGTCTAGATTATTTCTAGTTGAGAGGAGAAATTGTGGTGTTCAGTTTTTCCTGCGTTACTCCTTGAGATTCTGTTTTGCCTGTAACTCACCGTGGTCGCTTGAAAGCAGCAGTTCTTTCCTAAATAACTGTTTGTCACAACATAAACTTAGTGTCCCAGTCTTGTACTGTATCCAGTATAAAAACTCAAATCTCTTTTAGAACATTCTCTATTGAAAATTTTTATTATTGCCATAAACATTGAACTTGATGACTCTTTAAAATATTGCCTCATTTTTTTTTCACTCCAGAGATAAAACTCAGAGAAATCAATGCACCCTTCATATCACAAATCCATTCTTTTATGTGACTTTTAAAAATACAGGGTGGCAATTTAAGAGTCTAAGTAATGAGATAGCCTTTTCAGGCACTTCTGATACTTTTACTGTGTGCAAGAATGAAACACAAGAGTTATACCTTTCATAACACAAGCTCACTGAAATGTCTAAGGCTGTCTCATATTTGATGCAACATCAATTTTTCATAGAAATATGATTTGCCTGGAACTCTTTTACAACAGTTTGGGGACTTTTTCTCCCTCAACTTTGGTAGAAGCTTACTGCAAGGACTGGGTGTTAGTTCAGTTTCCTCGACACTGTTGAATATTACTGCTTAGTGCACGTGTTTTGTATAGTGTCAATGTGAATAGAAAATTTGTTAACGTAATTAACATTTAAAAAAACCGAAGTGTAGTCAGTTCACAATGTTGCGTCAATTTCTGATGTACAGCATAATGCCTCAGTCATACATATACATACGTACATTCCTTTTCATGTTCTTTTTCCTTATGGGTTACTGTAAGATATTGAGTATAGTTCCCTGTGCTATACAATAGAAACTTCTTGTTTATCTATTTTATATATGGTAGTTAGGATCTGCAAATCTAGAACTCTCAAATTTATACCTTCCCATCCCCCTTCACCCCTGCTAACCATAAGTTTGTTTTCTATGTCTGTGCATAATTAATATTTATTAAATTTATATCATCACTATCTGTCAGAAGCAAAGAGGTTATTACAAGGAAATATCTTTCAAAAAAATTGAAGGTGCCAAAATGGGAGTATGGAATAACTTACAAACAATAGACTATAGGTAGTCAAATTGCCAAGGAATGTACAAGAGCCTCCAAAACTAGAAGAGTTCTTAAGAGTATATCAGAGGGAAAATTGATTAGAGATTAGATAGGAGTTACTGATTGTGATTCAAAATGTAGACTTCGTGGTGCAAAGGAGACAGTAGACCAATAGAATTCATCTTCTTCCTCAGGCTGTTAAAAAACAAAACAAAACAAAACAGGATGTTAGGAAGATTACTACTCCCAAATGCTTCCCTGACAGAAATGAGCTGGAACCACTGTATCAAACATTGGACAACACCCACAATATTCCAGGCCAAACTGACACAAAATAAACGCAGATAAATCACTGTGACTGCAAGAGCACAAAAGAGGTTCAAAGACCTAAAGAATGATTATTAGGAACTGGAGGCTATAACGTAGATCCTAGCGTTAAAAAAGGCTGCTGGTCTGGCACATTAGCGAAATACAAAAGTACCTAATTCAAAACAAGGGCTCGAAATGGTTGGCAAGAGATTATAGGCCTTATATCTCCCTTTTATGCCGAATAAGCAAATGGAATCTAAACTAAAGGGCTGGTTCCCTGAACACTCGTCAGCTGGGGCTCTGCTGATCTAAGCCGTGCTGTGCTGGGCTGTACAGCTCTGCTTCTCAGTGTGGGCCTGTGGCTGGCTAGGGAGCCTCTGTTCTACATATGTTTATTTTGGTACCCGTGCTGCAGGGCAACAGCTGTGCGGGGGAAGAGCTGCTTCTCCCGGGAATGGCAAAGTCATAAGTGGGCAATAGGAAATTTGTGAAGGCCCTTAAGGTTTAGTCTTAGAACGAGTACACTGTCATTTCTTTTCTGGCCATTCAATTGGCCAAAACAAGTTTCATGACTAACCCCAAAGCCCAGGGGCAGGGAATGAGACTCTGCCCATAAAAAGGCTATGGCAAGGGTGTGGCTGGAAGAGAGGAGTGAAGATTTTTATGGTTAATACACTGGCATACCCTGTCAGTGTCCATGTTTGCCATTGTGTCTTTCTTCCCATATCTTCTCTCTGGACTCACATTGCTTCCTACTGATAGAAGTATTCAAGAGAATAAGAATTGGTGGATACTTAACATAATAAAATATACATGTATCCTAGTCCTAAAATCCATCATCTTACTTAAAGGGGAAACTCTAGGGGCATTTCCACTAAAATCAGAAACTCATTAAGGATACCTACTGTCTACTGCTATTCAGCATTGTACTGGAGGTGTTAGCCAATGCATTTCAACAAGAGAAAAAAAAGTAAGAACAAAGTATGTCATGAATGCATAAAATAAGTGTATGTATAACACGCAAAATATGTGTGAATTGACTGTTTATGTTATCAGAAGGCCTCAGGTCAACAGTGGAGTATTAGCAGTTGTGAGTTCTCATAAAGTCAAAAGATAGATGCAGATTTTTGACTGCAGGGGTTGCGGGTGGTCATTGACCCTAACTGCACCCACCCCCCCGTGTTGTTCAAGTGTCAACTGTATTTATTGAGCATTTACTCTATACCAGGCACCATTCTAAGCATTTTGCATATATGGGTTCATTTCATCTTCAAGCAACCCCAATGAGCAGCAATTATTTTAGAAATGAGAAAAGGGGAGAGAGGGGGACATGCCTGGGGACACAGAGTCAGGGGAACGGAGTCAGGGCTTAAACCCAAGCGGCCTCTCTCCTGCTGGTACTGTCTCCACCCCAGGTCTCTGAAGGATCAGTACAGAAAGTTACGTGGAAAAGATTGTTTAAAATCATAGAGCGGGACTTACACAAGTAAGGCCTATTTGTTGCCTCGAAGGTAATAATAAAGAACATGATCTGGAGCACATGCCTGGGCAGCCTTTGCTGATATTCCCACACTTAAAATTCAATTACAGAAGTCCTGACCAGATATAAAAGTGAATATTGGAAAAATCTTAATTTTTTTAAAACCATAAACTAGTTGAGTAGAGATGTCTTGCTAACTGAGGAAAAACAGGACAAAATATGGTCTGGATGAGCTTATTTCTCTAATTTTCTAAATGCACAATTTGACGCAGACCGGAGTGTCGGTGTTTAGGCAAATGGAGGTTTTCTATGGCCTGATTTGTCTAGTTATCTTTCCTTCCATCCCGCTATTAGGGTGAAGAAGCTTAATTTAATATACAAGAAAGAAAAATGTTTTGCTTTCACATGTTCTCTGATGTATTAATGTAGAAAAAGATTAATTAGCATTAAAGATTAATTACAAAGCACTTGAACTAAATGAACGCTAATTATGATGAAAGCTGAACATAACTACTTCATTAGCAGAACAGCGAAAATGATGAAAACAGCATGGGGAAGAGAGTGTGATCCCAACCACGTGACAGGGGAGCACGGGCAGGTGGGCTCGGGTTCAGGACAGCCCGGAGGCCTGGTGGGCAGTGTCCAGACAGCGGGCGCAGTCACAGGCCAACGGCAGTCTGAGTCCAGAATGGGCACACTTGACCACCAGGTTCCCTGATTGAACAAAGTCACCTTTGGAGATGCTCCCAGGTATTTGGAAGCACTGAGTTACTGACACAACTGGACTGAGCAGGTGTTAGGGTGTTTATTTACCTCTTTGCTCTCTGATAGCTTCTACTCACTCTCCTTTGAAGGCTCCTCTTCTTCTGTCTGGTATGGAAAGTCCTGTTTAAAGAACAATCTTGTCACCCCATGTGCCCCCCTTCGTTTGTTATATTCATTTCCATAGACTTAAGTACAAAGTATGTGCTGAATTATTTCACATCTCTTTCTCTTGACTCTCTCTCACAAGTGCCCCTCACCATTCATCATCACCGTCTGATATCTCATTGGCACTTCAAACCAAAATGTCCAGAAAGGAGCTTGTCGTCCTTCTGAATTCCCTGACTGATTTGTGGTGGCCCCATCCACCCAGCTCAGCCAGTCAGAATCAGAGAATTGTCACTACTCTCGATCCTGCCTCATTGTTTCTCTGTAAAAAAAAAAAAAAAAATTAATTGAGATACAATTCACATATAATAAAACTCACCCTTTTAAAGTATGTAATTCAATGGCTTTTAGTATATTCAGAGTTTGCATCTATGACCACAGTCAATTCTAGAACATTTTCATCACTCCATGAAGAGCACCTCTTAGCCACTCTCCCAACCCCTCCTCCTCCCAGCCTCTTTGTCTTTTATGACATTTTTGAAGAATGTAGTCCCTCCTCATTTTTATTTTAATAGAAAAATCTTCATTTTACATCTGCCTGACTTGTCCTCATGGTTAGACTCAGGTTACTCATTCTCAGTTATTCTATTGCTCAGGTGGATTATGTTGTCTCCCTTTTAGGGTACCACATGTCAGTGGCATTTTGACAGAAACTGAAGCTCTTAATCTGAAGGGATGACATTTGAAGCATGATTTTCAGGATTTAGTGTTGGAGATACGGCACATTTTCTGCTGAATTCTCACTTGGCCTTTTTTTTTCATTCACACCACAAGGATTTACTGAGTATCTACTGTGTCCCAGACACTGTCCTAGTTGCTGAGAATACTGTGGCAAACTAGAAAGGCATGATTTCTTTCCTTGTTGAGTTTATATTTTCATCAGAGGTTTAGACAAAAAACAAACAAACAAACAAGTACTGTAATGCAGATCTTGAGAGGAGGAAGGAAAATGCAAAGACGCTGTGGTAGGTGGTGGCAGGGGGGCCGTGGGGCTTAGAGAGGGGCTAATTTAGTCATTTGAGCTGAAACCTAAATGACCAGAAGGAACCAGGTACAATGGCCCTGAGGCAAGACAGGGAAAGGAGAAATTTGGAGTGAAATCAAGAAAACCTCAGAGATCCATTCCCAGGGTC